ATTTTGTTTTCAGTGAAGCATATTGGGCTGTTATTTCACTAGTTTCTTAATAGTGATAGGATGTAAAATAAAATAGATATACTGAGTACGTAGCTCAGTTTGTAGATTAAATACTGAAGCTAATTCTGTGTTAAAGTCATTGAAAATGAAAGGATAGATTATAAGGGAGTTTAATTAAAGCCAAAACAAACATGGATGCAAAATAATATGGGTTCATTATATTTCGTGGTTTCTCATCAGCTGCTTACAACCATATATGTACTAAAAGTTTACATTGATGTAAGATTTAATGTGAAACAATTGACGTAAGTGAATAAAAAGAATTGAAATGACAAGCCTTATCAACAATAGCTATATATGTGCAAGAACAGGTCGGAGGTCATTCGATGTTAGAATCAAGAAACATGAGGTGTGGGTGATGCAACAATTGGCTTTATTTAAGTTCGTAAACGGAACTAATTATAAAGGAGTTGATTGTTTGCCCAAATATGATGTCCCATAGAGTACAATAAGAGATACTCAGTTGTAGCTCTTTTACACTGAATTTTTCTCCGATGAATTTCTTAAAATTCCCATTGTTCGAAAGCTCATCATTTCAGTCGAGCTTTCCATTAGTTTAAGGGAATTTTTATTGCTTGTGAATTGACATTCAGTCTTCCTCTTTATAATATAATCATATTTAACTATGATTTCTTCGTCCACAACCCGATACATTCCCTACATTCAATTTTGTCCATAATGGAAGAAGCGACTATGAAGGAAGCTAAGTGCTACATCAACTATGAAGTAAATTGCACCAATTTTTTTGATGGAGTTTTCTCCTATGAGCTGGATGGTTTGGTCGTGAAGCATTCATCGTTCTTCTGAACGATATCATCAGCGCAAACTTCAGGTAGAAGTCCACCTGAAATTGCACCAACTTCGAGTAGCCCAACATCAAAGAAATCAGAAGCCTCATTCAACTAGACTTACACAAAATAACAGCGAAACAATATAGTATGTTGTAGATTTATGTGAATCGATTTTGTACACACGAGTTCGATTGAGTAAATGTTGACACTGTATTGCCAGTGGTCTGAGAATCTATAGAGATGCAATACTAAATACAATATACAAATGCAGCGTGAATTCTCATGAAGTGAACGCAGCCAAAACAATCACTCATTATTATGTCTTTGTTCTCATTAAATCCAATCCTCATAAAATAATTTAGGAGAATCATTTCTACCTGAAGTAAATGATGATGCTACAATTCAGAACAAAAACAACAACAGTTTCAGTGTTGAGACAATAAAGTTCATGAAAGCATACAACTACTGCCTCCGAATACATTAATTATTAGATCTTCATGTCTTATAGATTATATCGGTACGTTTCATATAAAACATTCTAACAAACAAATCACTGGAACCCTGTTCTTTACAATTAATTCAATTCCATTATATTTCTTATTACATGTGTTGACATTTCTTTACAACTTCATCAATAAAACAGATTAAATGGTGATTATATTAGATTATAAGATTATTCAGGCACTATAAATGAATCCATTATTTCTTGATAGTCATAGATTGAGAAATAATTCAGTTGTGAAATAGGAAGTCTATATGATCATTGGTCATTCATAGGTAGGTAAAATGACTCCTTATTTGTAAACTTTACACACAGAGTAAGTATGGTTTGTGCCACTTATATCGACATGAGTAGTATAAAATAATAGTCAGGATTAGAATGTCTGGCAGCAGAAAGTCGAGAAGGAAAGAACGGAAACGGAAAGTAATTGGTATGAAAATTCAGGAACAATGAAGTCTGAGACGATGGACTGGTATTTTGCAAATGAAGTAATTACTGTATTGCTCTCAGATTTTAATAAGGTGCTCTCTCATTTTGTATTCAAGTACATTCGATTGTCTCCACTTATGTTCTCGTCCACTACATAAGATGGTACTTACTATTAGCTTGGTTAGTATTTGATCATTCTTATATAGATCATTTACAGAAAATTAATTTGCAGGTTTCCACATGTTACAATATACTTTCAATATATTAGAACCATAGGTCGTAACTTCCGTTTTTAATATTTGAAATCATGAGTCAATTAAAGCTAGACCATCATGGAAGATCTGGAATCACTCAAGGGCAGTTTCATCATATTGTGAGACTCCTCAGCAGTGCGCATCCACGATCCCGCTCCCCGTGAGAGCCTAACCATTAGACCACTGAGCTGGCCGGCATCTAACGGTGTTAGTGTCTAACTTCAACCAATCCACGAAGTTACGCCACCGTACACTATTGTCTCACAACAGACCTGGTTGGACCCCATTAGTAACGGCTTCTCATTAGAACGCCAGGAAATCCCTCTTGAAATCAGTCACTAGTGAGCAGATGATCATTATTAGAAGGTTCTAATCGTTAAGCGTTCGCGCGCGGGATTAATAGGTCCTGGGTTCGAATCTCGTGTGGGGTCGGATCGTGGATGCGCACTGCTGAGGAGTCCCATACTAGGACGAGACGGCCGTCGAGTGCTTCCAGGTTTTCCATGGTTGTCTAGCTTCAATTGACTCATGATTTCAACTATTGAAACTTCCGTTTTATCAAGTATAGCGATGAGTCAAAACTAACTGAATGTGCTATATCGAACCACAAAATAACATAATGAGTACTTGGCAATTGATTGAAACACAGACACATTCTAGATGAAAATTAATTTACAATTAGATGCAATGAACATATGATGATATACGTTACCATGATATATCCCAAAAGTATTTTCATTACTTATTAGGCTACTTAGTATTTTAACAACTCTGTTAACAACTGTTAACTGAGTTTTGATTAGTTGGTATACGTGTATCTTGTGTGGAATGCATTAATATGACCGTTTCCTACAAGATTTTACATATGATATTCATTGTTGTTATAAAAACTTATGAAAATGGCTATATCGATATAGTCCGCACATGAGCCAACCAAAATCAATTTCAGCAGTCTGAACAACAGAGCTAATCCAAACTTATCCTAATAATGATATAAATATCATACCCGTTGGACAAGTCAGTGACTATTTGGACTCAGTAGATGGACGGATTATGTATCAGCGTATGGCATGAAAGATACTGTGTCCGAGTGTCAGAGTGAATATAAACACTGGGATACTGGTGCATTCAGCTGACGAATCCTAGACAGGAAAACATTCGCGTCCTGGATAACACTACTACTATCTACAGCCATTCTCTTTCATAAAAATTCAATCACTACAATTTAGCCACTCATTAAACACTTAACAGACAATCAGTCACAGCATAACAAAATGTTAACAGCACTTCGGTGTCATATTTTAAAATAAAAAAATCGATAAATTCACTAGGTATTGTTTACTTGAACCTTTCCATTGATGTTTAGGGCTGCAACTGATCAGTCTCTTATTAGCATATGTGCATATTTCCTTAATTCCCAAGCACTCTAAGTACTCAGTAGCTACATGGACAATGTGGTGTCGTTTGAAGCAAACGGTACTGGGTCCATGTACCAGAGTGAATATCAACTCTGACATCCAGGTACATCCAGTTGACGAATCTCAAATAGGACGAAACACGCGTCAAATTGGATTCCACTGCTAGTTACTATCCATCTTTGCTTAAAAATCGATAATTACAAAACTAATCACTTTACTTTCGATGTTCAACAAATGAAACTTTGTATATAGTTTCCAAGTGTACATAACTTAATGATCAATGAAGATTATCTTTGAAAAAAAAGAGATACAACTAATTGTTAAAAAAATGTAGACCGCTGGATCCATAATTCATATGGATAGAACGATCTTTGTTATACCCGCTGAATTGTTTTAATTTTCAGCTTATTTTCTCAATGACTTGTCTGGCCTGTATATTGCATCTTTATTCATAAAAGGTTTTTTATAGAGATTTACCTAATTTTTCATAGCTTTAATCCCCCTTGGAAACTGATATACCCACCTTACAATATTTCTACCGAAAAAAACTAAACCGATATCGGTAATAAAACCGCTATAGTAAAGAACATCCCTGATTGAAGAATGAAACGATTACCTAAAAACAAACCACTTCACTGCAAATTATCCCGCCTACAGGCATTTAGATAGGTTAATTAATTAAAGCGTATACAATGTATTACAAAACTCTGAACAAGGTTCTTAATCTACTTGCTTTTTATCTGAGAAAGTGTTCAGTCATAAATTCCCATCAGTTATCATATAGTAGCTTCATTACGGATGTTGAGACTATTATTTATTACCACTTAGTATGTTTATGTCATGTACGACTGATTGTTAGTCATTTCATTGGTTGAAATCGTGAGTCAATTGAAGCTAGACCACCATGGAAAACCTGGAAGCACTGGACGGCCGTTTCGTCCTGGCATGCGACTCCTCAGCAGTGCGCATCCACGATCCCGCCTCCTGCAAAGTTCGAACCCAGGACCTATCAGTCTTGCGCCAAGCGCTTAACCAACTAGACCACTGAGACGGTCGGCATCTAACGGTGTTAATGTCTAACTTTAACCAATCCAAGAAGTTACGCCACCGTACACCATTGTCTTAGTGAGTTCCTATCTCACAACAGACCTGGTTGAACTCCACTGGTAACGACTTCTCACTAGAACTCCAGGAGTGTCTCCTGAAGTCAGTCACTAGTGAGCATATGATTATTATTATCAGAATGGGTTTTGTGGAGATTTTTTAGAAATTTCACTGGTTGAAATCATGAGTCAGTTTTTAACTGTAATATCTAAAAAGAGATCAGTCAAAATGATTTCTGGATCAAATGGTTATCTATTAAATTTCCATTGTTCAGCTTATAATATTAGTTAATCCGTAATATAAAAGAATTTAAACCTCAATTACTAAAGAAGCATTATAACAATGAGGTCATTTTATGTTCTCAAATAACTTTCGCTTAAAACTAAAGTGAACTGTAGTATATGTATGTACTGAAAGACAACATAATGAGAATTTTTAAAAGTACGAAAATAGTAAATATTTATTCTAATTGTAGTCTATTTAGATCTGATATATGGTACATATAACGCTCAGATATTGGTATATTGTTAAGAATATTCATATACAGATTGCATTTTCCTAAATATCCATTATGTTTAATTTTCTTTAATTGATCAATATATGATTGAGGTAGTTGAGATTGAATAGCTCCACGAATTATTATATCTAAATAATATGGAGATGGATCTCCAGATTCAGATGAATTTAATATATAACTTCTACAATTAATAATTGAAGATTTTTCAGAGAAAAGATTAATTGGTATTTCAATTGGACGATACATTATTGGAGCAGATTCTTGTAAATCTAATGTTTTCATATCATTCATACACATTTTCCATACAGTACCCATTACATATTCAGAAGGTGATGGTTTAATTGTTGCAGTAGCTCCAAACCAATTATTACTTAATCCGCCAAAGGATAAAACATAATCTTCTAATACTCCAATACCAACATATTGAGCAGATTTATTTGATAATTGTATACGTTCTTTTAATAAATTACTTCCGAATGCAAAATAATAAAACATGAGATAATAATGAAGTATTTACAAATGATTACTTGTTGAGATAATTGCGTAATACTGATCTACAGGAACATAGATCAATACTTTATTTCTTAGATATTAAGTAGTATAATCTATAAAAGTGAAGAAAATAAATTATGTAAAGTATAACGACAAATATAAGGCTAGCTAAACTATTGATTGTTTACATCTTTTTTTCGTTCATGATATAGACTACAATTAACCAATCGTATGCTGATTACCCCGATATTGATATTGAGTGCAGATGCACTTGGTTGATAATTTTTTAAACAGAATGAAACACTGGTAATAAATCCTGCGGATACCTAATATCTAACTCTTCTTAAAATAACCAAACTATTGCCAGTTGTATTTCCTTTTATTTGAATATATAGATATTGGTACAAAGGGGCACCAAATACATATGCACCACACAAATCTCATTTGATTTGTGTGAGGGCTGTGATACTACCTGGGTTTCCAAACCAAAGAAGGTGGTTTTCTTATGAAGCCACACCTTGAGGCTTTGACATAAAGGTCTGATCCACAAGGTAGCGGAGCATCGTAAGGAGATGCAGTCCCATGGTAGACGGTGACCAACGATTGATTCATACTTCATTTGTTTTCTCAGGATCCTGGAGCCCATGTACACCATTGGTTTGAAATCAGAGTTTTCCAACTCCCCTAGGTGGACTGTCCGTGTCCAACAACTCGGTTAAAGCGCCGGACATTTAGTTTCCGTCCTCTCAATTTCGTAAACACCACCTTGGCGGTGCGAGAATGCAGTGAGTAGGACTTCCCTAGCAGAGGCTATGTACGCGTGGCCATGTGAGAGCGTTTGAAGAGGGAGAGCTGACTCTCCCCACTGTCAGCCGTATCAGGGCATTTGGGGGCACTATTGCCAGAAAATTGGCATATTTTTAAAACCAAGCTGTGTAAACCCTGAATAATTTTTTCCCATAACTTTTTACTGGCTAATACTGAACAAAAGTTAAAACCTAATTCTTTTGAAGCCACAGTTAAGGTTTCTTAAACTATATGTCAATCATTTCTAGGGTTTCATGGGTTTGAATCCTGACTGCTTGTTCAAGTCAGAGTTATAGTCAGTTTGAACAACACTTGTTAACATTAACATAACTGGATATAATGCTTGCATATACCTACTAGATATCAGTAAGGGGATTTCCGAAGTTTGTAATATAATTAACAGTTGAATTCATGAGTCAATCTAATCTAGACCACCATTCAAAAACTGGAAGCATTGGAAGGTCATCTCATTCTAATATGAGACTCCTGAACAATCCTCATCCACGATCCCACACGCGACACTCGAATCCAGGATCTTCAGTCCCATGTGCGAACACTTAAGTTCTACAACGCTGAGCCAACATCCAACGGTATTAATGTCTAACTTCAATCAACTCATGATCTTACCCAACCATTCATCCATTATCTGAGGTAGATATCAATCTCTACCTGACGCGGAATTGACTCCACTGGTCACAGCTTCTCACTACAACTCCAAGAAATCCATCTTGATGCTATTCACTAATGAGCATATAGTCGTTATCAAAATGTGGAATAGTGGAGATTGTTGTAATTTTAATTGTTGGATTCATGAGACAATCTAAGCTAGGCTACCGTTCAAAAACTGGAAGCATTAAACTATCGTTTCGTTCTGAACAGTTCACATCCATGATCCCGTGTGCAGGATCGAACTAGAACCTTCGGTCTTAGGCAATGGATCAAGGGTTTCAGAAGATTACGAATCGATTGAGGTTAGGACACTAACACTGTTGTATGCCGGCCCTGTGGTCTAGATTTTAAACATCCGCGCACGAAATTGAAGGAGCCTGGTTTGATTGTCACATGTGAGATCGTAGATGTACACTGTTGAGTAGTTCCATACTAGAACGAAACGGCCGTTCAATGCTTTCAGCTTTGAATGGTTATCTGGCTTATATGGATCCGTGAATTCAACTTACGAGTTAACTTTAAAAAATAAATGAACAGGAGCACTTTTGTACAAAATAAATAAAGAATAAGTAAAATTTCGCAAGTTGAAATCATGAGTCAATTGAAGCTGGACCATCATGGAAAACCTGGGAGCACTGGACGGCCGTTTCGTCCTTGTATGGCACCCCTCAGCAATGCGCATCCACGACCCCGCACCTCGCGGGATTCAAACCCAGGACCTACTGGTTCCGCGCGCGGGCACTCAACCATTAGACCACTGAGCCGGCACCCGACAGTGTTAATGTCGTTACCAGTGGAGTTCAACCAGGTCTGTTGTGAGATAGGAACTCACTGAAGACAATGGTGTACGGTGGCGTAACTTCTTGGATTGGTTAAAGTTAGACATTAACACCGTTAGATGCCGACCGTCTCAGTGGTCTAGTTGGTTAAACGCCTGGCGCGAGACTGATAGGCCCTGCGTTCTAATCTCGCGGGGTGCGGGATCGTGGATGCGCACTGCTGAGGTGTCCCATACTACTATGAAACGGCCGTTCAATGCTTCCAGGTTTTCCATGGTGGTCTAGCTTCAATTGACTCATGATTTCAACTTGTGAAATTTCTAAAAATCTCCACAAAACTCATCATGATAATAAATAAACTGTTGAAACTCACTACTTACATGGAATAAGCAAGACGATATATCTGTCAATGAAATAATCAAGCTTAGATTCATTATCTTATCCATAAGCAATTTGTCATTAGCATGGTTACACTGCTAATGCATACATCTATAATATGATTCGTTAATTTAATGACCTTGTGTTTTGTTAAAAATTTTATCATTGGCTAATAAACTGGTCTAAATCAATATATGTTTATTGTTTACTGAATGACCTGAAAATTGACCTAGTTACAAAGAATTTAAAATAACAGTTATAAAAGTTGATTCCGATACAATATACTCGGTTAGTGTTTTTGGAGATTTGTCATTAATCATTAATTTGATGTGATAGATCGAAAGTGGTAATATTTAACACTATAGAACATGAGTAATAGTAGTGGAGTTAGAGTGTTGTCAATGTCACCATGGCAACATATTTTTCTAAGTAATGGAAGTGAATAGAATAAGCTGTTATTTGCTTGTAAATGGATTCTGATAGTTCATTTCTTTCTCAGTTTGATGCTTTTCATAATGTATAGAATTTAATTAATACCACAAGATTACACTAAACAGGTTAGAACACATACTTTACTTTACTTACGTAAGCCTGTTAGTCCTCATTGAGGAGCGTAGGCCGCCCATCAGTACTCTCCATCCATAGCACATAACCTAGAGAAAATTAAAAAAATATGTTACTTAGGATTTAGAGAATGAAGACCTTCTATCAATAATACAACAATTACTCTTGCATGCTGTTACGCCTAAATGAATGTTTATGAAAATACTCATATCACTATGTTTGTCAATAAAATTTAGTCAATTATTAAAATAAGCGAAACAATAGCTAGTGATTGAAGAAAACAATAAGGTCTTCGTTATTACTGATTATAGATAGATCCAGTTGGAGCGTAAGAAAAATGCGAATATCATCAGCAAAATAAATTGTTCCAAATGCGAAAAACACTACATCGGACGAAGTGGGTTCCCCCTTCATCTTCCCCAATATGAACATCAATTAACAGTCAAAAACCATGACATATCCTCTCTTATATCGATTCATGTGGAAAACTGTGAATACACATTCGACTGGTAAAATGTTGAAATCTTAGAGGGAATACTAAAAGCACAAGGGGATTTTTAGAAGTCTGGCACTCAAGTCAATCGGCACTCAATAGACACATTGAAATCCATCAACCCGTCAGAAAACTCATGGACGAATATAGGACTAAGAATCAAATCACTGGGAGAAACAATCAAAATAAGGAAGTAGAGAATGACGGGTTAAAAGTCAACAACCAATCAAGATCGAGGTCATCAGGACAAGCTGCCAGCCATATGTCAAGAAATTCGAACATTTCACTGCTACCTGCAAGTTTGTGCCGATGATATCGTTCAGGAGAACAATGAAAGCTGCATACTTAAACCACCTAGCTCAGAAAACGAAACTCCACCTAAAAACCTATTAACAACTTTATTTGCACTGATTTTTTCCATAACCAATTATCCCGGCTGCAGAAGATTGACAGTGAATGAGAAAATTCAGAGTATTCTGCAATATCATACAATTACTTCACCGACATACAATTTGACACTCTTATTGCTATCAACCATATTTCTATGTGTTGATATACCAGATAGAGTAGTTGAAGTTTTCTTGTCACCGATTTACTTGTGAGAAGATCACCATGTAAACAAACGAACATGATGTCAAATGAATAGAAGTCTCAGTGATTACAAACGTTTAAGTACTACTTAGGTATTTTCATTGTTTATTTATCAAAAACTTTGTTACTACTAACAAGTAGCCAAATGTATTTTGCAAATATAAATGAACTTTGTGTTCGGATAGACTTTGTGTACTTATCATAGTAATGTGAAATAGGTATGGATATACTAAATATTTTCATATTTTCATAAATATTCACCGTAATTTACAGTAAATTTACAATAGTCAGTATTGTCAAAATATAAGTCGACACACATCTATTATTATATTAGTTGGTTGTACATACACTGGATTACATTCCTTAAATAACATCTTTAAACCCTACTGTTTCCGATTACCGCTTATACTCTTACCACATCTGTCACTATGGGATTTGAACCGAAAATTGTATTGCTGTACTAATGTAGTGTGGCAACTCGAACTGATGTACGTACGCACGAAGTTCTACGTTGTTGACTGCCTGACTGACATATACTACTTAAATTATGAAGAAAATGTACTTGTTGCCTGGATAACTATGATGCATAAATCATAGGTAAATAACTGGCTACTTTACCTTGTTGAGTATTTCCGTGATAACTGATAACATATTATATAGAATCCATAATTCTACATTAGAAACGAATCACATAAATACATGATAAAATTCAATTGAAGTTCTATGTTTAGGAAGTAAAAGTGGTAGTAAATAAGTCTTTCAGTAGGTAACAGTATAAACGGTTTCACAACTATGTGTTAATAGGAATATCAATGTGATATTTTCATAATTTAATCTTGGATTGATTAAGCCCAACTAAATTACGTCCCATTCCTAAAATGGTCCTAACCAGTTTACACTAGTCAAGCCCATAAGTCTAGAAGAATGAAACGATAACGATATCCTCGTCTTATTGTACAAATTAATGTAAATGAAGTGCAAACTGTAGATGATTATTAAAACATTGTTGGGAAAATTAGTTGATATTTAACCTACACGTGTTGGCATAAGAGATAAACATCATCAGCTATGAAGATGATTGTTAAAACTATTGAAGTATTTTAAATTGAGTTTAATTGACACTAGAAAAAGTTGTATATATTTAGTTGAATATACACTATAAGTTCCACAAAATAGAACAAAACCAATTTCATTCAAATTATGATTACGCACTATCTCGTGGAATATATGTTGGACAGTTAGAACAAAAACACGCTTCCAGGTTTTCCATAGTGGTCTAGCTTCAATTATTAAATTACTATAATATCCAAAAAATGTCCTTTCTGATTAGAATCATCATATACTCACTAGTCACGGTCTCTATGAGCTATTGCCTGGAGTTCTAGTGAGAAGACATGACCAATAGAGTTCAACCGGGTCTGTTGTGAGATAGTAAGTCACTGATAACAATAGTAGATTTATCGCTCAATTTCGTGGATTAACTGAAGTTAGACATTAACACCGTTGGATGCCGGCCGCCTCAATGGTCTAGAGGTTTAGCGCTCGCGCGCGAGACTGATAAGTATTCGGTTGGCATCTCAAGGCGTAGGATCGTGGATCTGTACTTTTGAGGAGCCTCATACTGGGATGAAACGGTTGTCCAGTATACTTACATAAATCAACGAGAAACTAATTTATTTGGTTTAATAGAAAACATTTGAAATATATTTTAATCTATATAGAAAATGTGTGAAATTTATAGTGTTCTGTTTGTTTCACACATTCTTGTTCATCAATTTCTAGCAGTTCAAGCATGATATTTCAAATTTTCAATAAATCACAGAATAGTTATTATTTACTCACTCTGGTTAATTTCATTCCTTAAGATGAATATAATCAATGTAATCTATCTACTTAAGTTCGTATTTTCGAAGGTGCATAAACTTTAAAGTTGAATTTTGTCACCCTAATTTGATGTAAGCTGGACCACAATTCAAAACTTGGAAGCATTAGACTGTCGTTTCGTCCAAGTATCGAACTCCTGCGTAGTGTGCATCCACGACTTAAAACACGACACCCGAACCGAAGACCTTTGGTCCCGCGCTTGAACGCTTAACCTCTATGTTTGAGATGGTGGAGAAGATTTGTAGCTCATGTGGATTATTTTGGTGGAGTTTTATTCTCTGAGCTTAATGGTCTAGTCGTGGAGATTTCATCGTTCTACCGATAAAGTCGTTCAGAAGAACAATGAACGCTCCACGATTAAACCATTTAACCCACAGAATAAAACTCCATCACCTCATCATTTAAAGTCTTTCGATTTTATGATCATTTAGCATTCACTTTATATCATGAAGATCTCTTATTAGTTATTCAATCAAATTTATTCGAAATAAACTTATAAAACCTAGTAATAACATATTAAGTAGTAACGACTGGTTATACTCCACGAAATCTGATTATCTTTTTGAATAAATACATGAATAATAACTGAATATTTCAAACACATACTTATTTACATACGCCTGTTACTCCTCGCGTAGGAGCATAGGCCGCTCAACAGCACTCTCTTGACAACACTGTCATGGACAATACTTTCAAGCTCTTTCCTTTTCATATCTGCTTCTATTTCCCGACGTAATATGTTCTCCGACCTTCCATGTCTCGGAACCCCTTCAACAATCCAAGTTAGGGATCACCTCATAATACAGTTTGATGATATCCATAAGGTATGTCCTATCCATTTTCATCGTCTTTCACTAATTGCCTGTTCAGATGGAATCTGGTGTGTTTTCTCTCACACTGAAGACTGTTGCTCATAGTATCCGGTCAATGTATGTCGAGTATGTTGTGTAGACAACTATTTATAAATACTTCTACTTCTTTGATGATGGTTGTGGTAGTTCTCCACGTTTCACCTCTGTACAGTAGAACTGTCTTCATGTTCGTATTGAGGATTGTGACTTTGATGTTGACTTGAAGACAGTTGATTTGAGTTTCATATGTTCTTCAATTGTAGGGATATTGTCCATGCTTTTTCAATCCTTACATTTACGTGTGCATCTGATCCTCCGTGTTCATCGATATGTTTCCCATGTATATAAATGATTCCACATCTTCCATAGTTTCTCCATCAAATGTGATTGTGTTGATATTCTCCGTGTTGTATTTTAGGATCTTGATTTTCCCCTATAATATACATTTAATATTTCAAATAATATTAAATAAAGATTATGTCAAGCTTATAATAGAATTTATATTTTATAAGCATAAAATCACTACACAGATTGAAATCATGAGTCAATTGAAGCTAGACATCCATGTAAAACCTGGAAGCACTGAAAGGATGTTTTGTTCTAGTATGAGACTCCTCAACAGTGCGCATCCACGACCCCGCAAGATCCGATCCCAGGGCCTATCAGTATCGTGCCAAGCGCATAATCAATTAGATCACTGAGCCGGCGCCCAA